TTTTGGAACAACATTTTTCGCTCTCAGAGTAAAATGCACATTTAATTTGCATTCTAATAGTCAAAGCACAATTGACATTTATAATGTGAATCTAGTGGAAAAATGTAAACGATTGCAATATTACAACACTACTCACTGCTCAAGGAGAGACTGCAATTTTTATGAATTATAACAATTATTAAATTTTCACAATTAACTACTAGAATGTCCTACTAAATTAAAACTATTGCCCGTTACTTTGATGCAATTGTAGGTGCAAGACTAGGTTGCAGAACCTGTTAATGATTTCCTGACAAAATTATCACAACTTTGGCAATATTTCCTGTTATAAAGGATGTAAAAAATAGCGAGAAACTGAGCATGCTAACAAAAAAGTCCCCCTAAAGCTTATTTTTTAATGATTTTTATGTTGTATCAATCTTATCTTACATAAATGATGTAACACTACAAAAATGTGTTGCAAAAGAAAAACAGAACATGATAATGATAAAGAAAAACTAAAGATAACAATGCAGGTGTAGCCGTTCTACTCCTACACACAATAGCAAACTGGAAAATATGTACCAAAAAATGCAACTTTTGTATTATCCTTTGAAAAAGACAAAAACTGAAAATAATTGGGGCAACCAAAGTTTAGATCTACAGCTGCTGTAGGACTTGTCCGTCCCATGATGCACTGTTATGCTTAAAGTGAAACTGTCGTGTAAATTTTAACTATGGCCCCAAATACATGTAATACACTATATATCATAGAGATACATGATGTATTACATGTAAAATATTGAGATATGCTCACCTTACCTCTGTTCCAGCACCATCATATTCTGAGTTTCGTGGGTGTAACTCTTCGTGTAACACCCGCCTCCATTCTGTCCGTGCACCACCTGCTGGCCTCTTTGATTTGACCTGATTGGGGATACTTCCTCCTCTTTGATGCCAACATGCTGGCATAATTTGACAGCATGTCTTCGTCTGACATTCCAATATTACCTAGGGAGTGACCATAGTGCATGCGCTGTGATTGCTAAGTGTGAAGAGCACAAAAGGACAAAACGTGGCAGGACCTTTCTCCCTCGTCAGTAAAATTGTCAGGATAGAGTCTATGAAGAAGGTTTGTATGCTAAATAGGTTTTTCTGCCAAGCAATACATTTGCAAACAAAACTGCTACCACAATGCATAGACAGAATATCGTGCTCTTAAATATAGCGATGACTGGGATCTTTTAAAATGATTTTCTTTTTTTTAACTATCCTTGCCATAGAGTATCCCAGATGGGTCATTGGGCATTGATGACAAATATACAGGATGAACTGTTAGCTGGTATAGATTATATCAAATGGGGACGCCAGTGCTATTAGTGAAACAATGTTTTTGCATTGGGCATAAAAGATTACCAGAAGCTGGCATCATTATAATGGTTCCACATATAGTTGCCTAGACTTGATCAATAGAGATTTTACTTCATCCTAATCAGTTTCTCTGAATAAAAAAAAACTGATTCTGATGACCCATATGTCAATCAAGATTTTGTTCAGTTTTTCAGCATTTTTGTTTGCATAATTTCACAGGAAATTTGGACAGACTGATTTCATGTTTAAATTTCCATTAATTTTTTTTTTGTAAAATGTACTCAGTAGTTAGAGGGTTTATATTAGTTTATGGATGTTGGTGCCAGAGTATTTTCGCTTTGTTTAAAGAACTACCCTTTAAAAAATGATGGCACATACATTTTATGAACGCCAGCACTTCAGAGATATAGACATCAAACCTGAGTCTTATTAACGGACCACTATAGGCACCCAGACCACTTCAGCTTAATGAAGTGGTCTGGGTGCTAGGTCCAGCTAGGTTTAACCGTTTTTTCTATAAACATAGCAGTTTCAGTGTTTATAATAGGGTTAATCCAGCCTTAGTGGCTGTCTCACTGACAGCCGCTAGAGGCGCTTCCGCACTTCTCACTGTGATTTTCACAGTGAGAAGACGCCAGAGTCCATAGGAAAGCATTTTGAATGCTTTCCTATGGACTGGCTGAATGCGCGTGCGGCTCCTGCCGCGCATGCGCATTCAGCCGAGGAGGAGAGGAGGAGGAGAGTCCCCCGCCCGGCGCTGGAGAAAGAGGTAAGTTTAACCCCTTCCACCCTCTAGAGCCCTCAGGGCACTATAGTGCCAGGAAAACGAGTATGTTTTCCTGGCACTATAGTGGTCCTTTAACTCAAATGTTTCCAGTGCTACTTGATGATGCAGGTTATTTTTAGAAGAAATATTTTATCTCTAACTTAATATATTCAAATTGACTAGCACTGACATGTTATTGATTTGTTTAAACTCTCTCAGAATTACTAGTGAAAGCTGTGTATTAAATTAAGAATGCATTTATTACCAAAATTACATACACATACTTTAAAAGTAAAAAGTAAAAATGATTCCAAATTTTATGCTTCCATACATCAGTGGCACACTTTATTAAATTTGTTTATTGCAAAGCAAATTTTGTTTGCAAAATGGCTCATTAAAACAAACAGGCAAATTGTAGATTTGTATGTATGATACATACAGATACATACAGATATTGTAGAACTACAAGTGCCATAATGCTTTCCTAGCCTTCAGAATTGCAAAGCATCATGGAAGTTGCAGTCTTACAATTTCTGGGCATCTACCATTTGGCCAACTCTACATTAATAAATCCTACAGCTCATATTGTAACAACAAGAAGCATTGTGTTTAATATGGATTGGACCCTGGGCAAGAATTTGCTATGAACCCCTGGATCCCGCCCTCCGACTTCGGCTCTCTAGATTGCAATCACGCTCTCCACCCAAAAACACCCAACAAAAACCGACAAAAAAACAAGGACACTTAGAGATCGTAGACTTATCAGTGCTTCTCAACCTTTTCTAACCAAAGGCACACAAAAGCTTTCACCAGAATTCTGCGGCACATGACAAGCCAAAATATATGGCCACAAGGTCACCATGCACCAGCACAGTAACCAAAAAGGTCACACTGCCCCACAGCACTTGCAAAAGAATCACACGGCCCCCAAAGCTCTTTCCACAGTGTGACACTGCCCTCACAGTACTTGCCACAATGTCACGCTGCCCACACAGGAGTTACATGTGTCACATTAACTCATGTCAATTGCCACATTGCTCCACAGCACTTGGTACAGTGACAATTTAACAACACACAAAACGTGCCTGTTGAGAGTGCCACTTTGACCCACAGAACATGCCATAGTCAGTTTTCAGATTACAAAATATACAACAGTCAGTTTGCCCATTAAACATATGCCAAGTAAGGTGCCAATTAAAAAACTCCACAGTCAGTGTACCCATTAATAAATATCAAAGCAAGTTATCCAATTAATAAATACCACAGTCAGTGTTCACATTAATAATTACTACAGTTAGTTTTCCAATTAAGAAATATCACAGTAAATTTGCCCATTAATAAATACCACAGTCAATGTACCCGTTAATAAATATTACAGTCAGTTTGCCCATTAATAAATATCACACTGATACACATTGACGAAATACAGTCATGCAGTTACAATGTGTATTTGGCTGTTTGTAATTATGAGTATGTCTGTGCCTGAGAGTGTGTCTGACAGTGAGTATCCTTGTGTTTGAATGTACGTCTCTCAGACTATGTGTATGTTTGTGTCTGTGGCCATATGTGTGTGGGGTAATTGCTTACAGGGTATTGTGTGTACGGGGGGCTGACTGTAGTATTTGAGCATTGTGTTTATGGTGAAGCCATGTTTGTGACTATCAGTATATGATGATGATCTTCAGGGGGTACTGTGACAGGGTGGATAAACAGGTAACTGTGGCAAGGTGAGTGCAACAGGGCCAGAGGAGTGAGAGACAGGGTTGGGTGGTGAGTATGACAGTGTGGTATGGTTGGAGGAGGGAGTGTGACAGGGCGAGGCGAGATAAGTGTGACAGAATTTGGGGCTTAATGTGACAGGGTGGTGTGGCATGATTGGGTGGTGAATGTGGAATGGTTGGAGGAGGGAGTGTGACAGAGTAGGTGAGCGTGACAAGATTAGGAGAGGTTTATGTGACAGGGTGAGTTAGGCATAGTTGAGGGTTGAGTATGACAGAATTGGAGGCGTTAGTGTGATAGAGGATGAGTTTGACAGGATTGGGGATGCGTGTGACAGTGCAGGAGAAGGTAAGTGTGATAGAATTATGGAAGGTTAATGTTATAGTGTGAGTGTGGCAGATTGATGGAAGGTGAGTATTGAATGGGGGAGTTCGACAGAATTGGAGGACTTAATGTTAGTGTGGCAGGGAGAAGGGGGTGATAGTGTGTGTGTGGGTGACAGATACACAGGCACACAGATGCACACACTGACACACATGCAGATACACACTGACACATATGCACAGACTCACAGATACACTCACTGACAAACATGCAAATACAGAGACACACACATACAGATAAACAGACAAACTCACACTGACATTAATACACATAATATAACACATACTGATACACAGACACACACTAATACGCATACAGACACACAGAAACACACTGACACACATGCAAATACACCAACAAACAAGCTAACAAACTAACACACATACAGATACACACACTGACACACATGCTATTACACAGACAATGACACATTCAGATACACTAAATGACACTCCTAAAGAAACAAACAATGATACACATACAGAGACACACACTGACACACGTGCAGATACACAGACACACATACAAATGGATACACATATTGACACACATGCAGCTACACAGACATACTTAATGATAAACATTCAGATACACAGAATGACACTCATACAGATATAAACAGTGACACACATACAGATACATAGAGGCACATACGGACTCACATGCAGAGACACGGAACAACAGATACACATACAGGCACACAAATAAACATATAGACACAAAGTTACACTTACAGACAAACAGATACACATATAGACACACATATACATATACAGACACACCGAAACACAAAATGTAAAATTTTTAGCAACCATCCTGTTTCCTACCTTTTGGTCATTTTGTACATTTCCCTGGCTGACTGGGCCTCCTTCTTTCTCCTCCTATGTGGTTCTTTGCTCGATGGAAGGAAGTGTCCAGCCGTCCCTTCCTCCCAGGCTCACATCATCATAGGGTCCGGTGGCACTCATAAGGAGCCACAGCGCTGACCGGGCCTCTGAAAGTACATTGCTATTGGGTGGCCCTAAGAGCATTGGTCACCCAATGGGCCACCTTAACGTGAGGTCCCGGCAATGGTTACATGCGGGCCAGGGATGCACCGCAATGTCTAGCAGGCTGCATTTACAGGCTAAGGGGCAGCTGCGTTGGGCCCCCCAGGAACAACTGGGCCCGGGGAAACTGCCCCTTTTGCCCCATATTAAAGATGGCCCTGATTGTATGAAGCATGTGCCTAAAATTTTAACTCAGATTAGTGTGTCTGTATGTTTTTTATTTTTTTGCTTCTGTGAGTTCAAAGCAGCAGTGTGGGTGCAATATGGGTAAAGTCATGCCAATGTGTAAAATGATGGTACAATCTTTATGGGACAATACATAAAATGTAAACGTGAGGAGACAAGTAGGACTATAAGTGGGACAATACAAATACATATGCATATATATGGGGGTAATATGGCTCAATGATGAGATGGTTCCAGTCAGGAAATGAGAATATACAAATATGTCATTTTTTTATGGCATTAAATAATGTGCTATGTATGCATACTGAAATTAAAATAAAATTTCCCTGAATTTGGTGGTTATTTTTGACAAACTGCGTAGTAGTGAAGGGTTTCAGCAATGTCTGATTAACGGTTAATCACAGTGTGAATAAATGAATTGGTTACTGGACTATGAGCTGCATTCCTTAAGGATGGGTTTCAGCACGGGAATCATATATACATTACTGGAAGCAATGTAAAACTTCTTACAAACACTGTTTAAACTTGCAGAATCCAAGGTCTGTGGAGGACATTAGACTATCCTTCAGATTAGCTAATTTTACATAGTTACATAGCTACATAGCTAAAAAGAGATTTCCGTCCATCAAGTTCAGCCTTCCTCACATTTAGTTTGCTGTTGATCCAAAAGAAGGCAAAATACCCACTCTGAAGCGCTGCCGATTTTGCAACAAACCAGGAAAAAATTCCTTCTTGACCCCAAAATGGCAGTCAGATATCTCCTTGGATCAAGCAGCTATTACCCCACTAATTAGAAATTATATCCCTGTATGTTATGTTTTTGGAAGTATTTATCCAATTGCTGTTTAAACATCTGTACGGACTCTGATAAAACCACCTCTTCAAGCAGAGAATTCCACATCCTTATAGTTCTTACAGTAAAAAACATTTTCTTTGCCTTAGATGAAATCTCCTTTCTTCCAGCCTAAATGCGTGACCTTGTGTGCTCTATATATATAGCCCTATTTATGAATAGATTTCCAGATAATGGTTTGTACTGGCCCCGAATATATTTGTATAATGTTATCATATCCCCTCTGAGGCACTGTTTTTACAAACTAAAGAGATTTAAATTATTTAACCTTTCTTCATAACTAAAACGCTCCATTCCTTTTATCAATTTTGTAGCTCGTCTTTGGACGTTTTCTAGTGCCATGATATCCTTCTTTAGAACAGGTGCCCAAAATTGCACAGCATATTCAAGGTGTGGTCTTACCAGTGATTTATAAAGATGCAAAATTATATTTTCATCCTGAGAATTTATGCCCCTATTTATACATGACAAAACCTTACTGGCCTTAGCAACTGCAGATTGACATTGCATGTTGCTGCCTAATTTGTTGTCTGTAGCAATTCCCAAATCCTTCTTGTGTGTGGTTACCCCTAATTCACTACCGTTTAGGGTGTAAGTTCCTTGTGCATTCTTGACCGTGAAGTGCATAACTTTGCATTTCTCTACATTCAATTTCATCTGCCATTTTAGTGCCCATTCCCCAATCTATCTAAATCCCTCTGCAGCAAAGCAATATCCTGCTCACATTTTATTACTTTACAAAGTTTTGTGTCATCTGCAAACACTAAAACATGACTTTCAATGCCTATTTCAAGATAATTCATAAATATGTTAAATAGAAGCGGCCTCAAAACAGAATCCTGAGGGACACCACTTACCACTTTTGTCCAGTTTGAAGATTGTGGGTGAATACTGTCAGGCCCCGGAGCTTTATTTACATAAATTTTCTTTAACTGCTGTAGCACCTTGTCTCGAGTCATCCAATCACAAGTTATCTGCAAGTTTTTTGCAGCAATCATTTGCATATTTCTTGCCATAGGATCCTCATTAATATATACTGAAGAAAAATAGTTATTTAAAATGTCTGCCTTTTCCTGGTCTTCATTAACTAACAGACACATCTCTGTTTCCATTGTACCTACACTTTCATTTTTTATTTTTTTAGAACTGATGTACTTAAAAAAAACATTTGGGGGTTGATTTTGGATTCTTTGGCTATCAATTTCTCATTTTTTAGTTTACCCACTTTAATTGCCTTTTTGCAAGCATTATTGGCTTCCTTATATCTTATATAGGATGCCTCTGATTTGTCTGATTTAAATGCTTTAAATGCCCTTTTCTTATATTTAATCTCTTGTTTTACTTCTCTACTAATCCACACTGGTTTCAATTTGTTTCTTTTATAGTTATTACCAAACGGTACATACTGAGAATGTAACTTTCTTTTTTTTTTTTCAATTTGACAATTTTTATTGAGTCAAGGTGTTTGCGTTGGGATACAGAAGAGAAAAGGGACAAGGGTATGCTTTTCAGAACCTAACGTAGTAGGGAATTTAGCTCGATCACATTTCAGCCAACAATAAGCAGTTATCTACATACAACATTTTAATTTGGTGTTCATTTTTCCTAGGATGTCTGTCGAGATATCTCTCTGCCGTAGCCGCTAACCCGAGGCCTCCATGCCCCACCTTTCCTGTCCCCCTGTCTCGAGACCCTAACTGAGTATCTCCATCTTCTGTGCGTAGCTGGTATATATCCTACCGTCTGTCCCCTTGTGTTCTCCCTTGCGGTGCCCCTATCTTATCCTTGTAGCTATGGTCTGTTCCCAGTTCTAAGCTTCCCTCTCTTTGGTTCTTGACTCTTTTTGTGATTTTTAGGAAGGAAATAAAAGGTTAGTGGTGAAAATCTGAGAAACTTAAGAAGAAAGGTTCAAACTATTAACAGAGTGAGTTGAGCCTGCGGAGTCGTCGTTTGCGGGAGAATGTACCTTTCTACTATTTGCTTGAAGAATTTCCATTTATCCTTAATGTTTTTTTCACTAAGGAGTTTATGCCAGTCGATATGTTGTAGAGCTGCCCTAATCTTATTAAAATAGGCTTTTTAAAAATAATACGTTTTAGTATACCCCCAATGCTTTTGCTTTTTTGAGTTTATAAAAAAAAAATTACCATATTGTGATCACTTTTCCCCAAATGCTCCTCTACTTGAATGTTGGTCAAAAGATCAACATTGTTTGTTATAACGAGATCCAGACAAGCATCCTTTCTAGTTGGTGCTTTAATGTATTATTTTACATAAATATACTTCCCTCTCAACTAGAATTATTATTGTTATTATTATTGTGTGAAGTACCAACATGTTGTGCATACCTTTATGTTGAGTTAAAAGTAAATTGATGCAACAGCAAGAATGGATTAGGGTTAGGGTTAGATTCCTGTCATCATTCCCTTCATTTTTCTTCCCTGTCCTGTTTTGCCACTTTTCAGAAATCCGAAGCACTTTGGCACTTATGAAATTCGGTACTTCGGCAATTCTGTTCGGTTCAGCACTTCCGAAATTTGGGACTTCGGCAATTAAGCACAATGGCTAATCGGTTTGGCACTTCTGAAATTCGGGACTTCGTCAATTAGGCACTACGGCAATTTGGTTCGGCACTTCCAAAATTCGGCACTTCGACAATTCGGACATTCGGAAGCCTTACGAATGTTCGAATTGCTGAAATTTGTCTGAATTTCAATTTGGACCGAAACAAATTGCACATGTCTACCGACCATTCAATGGGAGTGTCAGCCTGACATCAAACCTACCAGGCTTAAGAAAGCAACGCGGCCATCCACCAACATAAACAACCATTTACAGATTTCTGTTGAAGCTCTGTCTGCGGGACCCTTGTGCTAATCGCACAGCACAAGTGCATCTAATGAGGCTCATGCACTGTGGTGTCCGAGCACAATTGCTGGGTGTCCCTGGATGCAGGACACTATAGAACAATATCGGGACGACACCTTTTTGAAATAGAGTTGGTGAAAAAGGGAAATAAAACAGGTGTTGAGCATACATTAACTGTCTGAAAATGTGTGTACTACTTCAGACTTGAGCTGATATGGCAACATGTAAAAAGATTATGAATATGTAAGTGGGAATGTCAGCTTACCAACACAAAACAAGAACCAAAATATAAGAAGGCATGCCTTGAACAATCTTTAATAAGATAAAATGAAAAAAAAAACACTTTATAAACATTATGCAGCACCTATACAGGTTCAGAAGAGAGAAACCCTGATGATTTTTTCTTATCATAAACTTGCACTTAATCATAGGCTTTAAGCAACATTAAGCTTAAATATGTTTAATTTAATATAAATATTTATCTATGCGTCTGTCTGCCAATCTTACCTACGCAACCTACGTATGTGTCTGCCTATAAATAAATATTTTTGCTCTAGTAAGTGAGCATTTTAAATTTGAAAGTTAGAATTTAAATTGTGATAATTGAGTAAAAAATGTGCATAGCTTATTTTAAATAGTCCATTTTTTTCCTCCTGATTACTTCCTTTCTCTAAGATGTGGGGATTCTTGAAAATGTAAGTCAAATATAATTTTATACATATTTTGAATATATTAAGGATTTATTCAGAAACGCTCTAGGGACTCAATCTTTGTAACCAGCTTGCACACTGAGTAAAATAAATTGAAGGTATTTGCACAAGTTAAATTGACCATTTTTTTCCTATTATTATTTTGCTACTTGACATAAAATCTGTTTTCCTTCCATCTATCTACCACTGCAACTCTGTTTTCTAGGCTTCTTCAAAGACTATAATTGTACACCATATAATAACTGCTACAAACAGTGAAGTCCATTGACTCCACAGTACATTTCTTCAAAACTTCCCCAGTTACCTAAAAAAAGGCTTTGTTA